ATGGTATTGTCTAGCTGTGACGTTGTTCGAAAAACTCATTTTAGCCAATACGCTTTTAGTTTTTTCTAATGCGATTTGACCATCATCTTCAGCAACGTAGCGAGCAGGCTCAAATAAAAATGCGGAGAAAAATCGTGTAATAGATAACATTAAACCTGGCTCAAAAAACCAGGTAAAAAACTGGTGTCGGAGTTCGAATCCGGTGTCGAAACCTTATAGGGGCGTCTAAACAGGGTTGGCAACGGCGGGTTTTAGAAAGTTGAAATCTTAATTCCTGCCAAGCAAAGACGCCAATGCAATTGTACTGAATTGGCATATCCCTGATGCAGTAATGACTACTACAGCATTCCATGTAGTGCTATGTGCTCTCATAGATTTTTTCTGCGTCTAATGACGCAGAAAAAAATTTCACTAAAAAGATAATAAAGTAGACTAATAATCGCCTCTCTACTACAAGTGGTACCGGTATTTATGAAAGGTACCTGCGTTGTGTCATCTGAAGTCCTGATGCATCACTTTTGATTGCTAGAAGCCACCAGCTCCGTGAGGATGTCGTGTTCTGGAAATTTCACGGTGGTGTAGTAGGTCGTGAAAGTAACATACAACTAATATCGAGCTTCACTCATCACTCGATGGTTGTTAGCAGCAGCCATGCCACTGTCAATCTGAAGATCAGCACTGCCGCCCACTGTAGTGGTTGATGAGACTACATACCCCCAGCCGACTACAGGTGGCTCCGCCAGCACGTTAACAGGGCTGTATCCAGTCTCATCTTCTTCGCCATGCACGGAGCTAAATTAGTAACCAAGCATCTTAATCATCCGAACCTTTTGAAAGACCAAAGGAATGCTGTTATTTTTTATGATGATTTATCAAAACAAGCTGTAGCTTATAGACAAATGTCTTTATTATTAAGAAGACCTCCAGGTCGAGAAGCTTACCCTGGTGATGTATTTTATTTACACTCTCGTTTATTAGAAAGAGCTGCTAAAATGAATAGAAGAATAGGTGGTGGTTCTTTAACATCTTTACCTATTATCGAAACACAAGCGGGAGATGTTTCTGCATGTATCCCAACTAATGTTATAGCAATTACTAATGGACAATTTGTTTTAGAAACTGAATTATTTAATGAAGGTCAAAGACCTGCAATTAGTGTTGGTTTATCTGTAAGTCGTGTAGGTTCTGCAGCTCAAATTAAAGCTATGAAACAAATAGCAGGTACTATGAAATTAGAATTAGCACAATTTAAAGACTGAGGACAAAGGGCAAGATCATCTTTATTGCGAAGGAACGAGATCAAAGCTAAGTGGTAAAGTGTCCGGACCCCATTAGTTAGTAGCATCACGAGCTCAGATGCAGGAACGTGTCCGAAATCCATCGCATTAACCTCAGCATGGGGAGCCAGACTGCAACTCTGCCTGCAGCACTCGTTAAAGTCCATACTTCGCTTTCGGCAGCACTCACTGGTCTCCGTATTTGATTCCGAATACCTATACGCGCAGCTTGGAGCCGAGCAGAGCTGCTGCGCACTGGTTGTCGTGGCAATCATCGCGGTTATAGCAGCAACGGCGTAAATTCCCAGGTTCATCTTCAGACGGTGCCAAGAATCGTGTCAGAGTCGAAATGAGTTTGAGGGGCCAAATAGCAGAATGAGCTGAATGTTATTGAGTCGTTGGTACAGACACTTCGTTGAAGTCACGATTCTTGAGCGTAATCGGCATGGTTGCAAGACCCTGTTGTACCCTGCTTAGCAGTAATCGCACTGGTTTGGACTCCAAACCAGTGAGATTACTACTCCAGGGATGATACATATTCCCAGGTTTTTATCCATTCTCTTAAGGAATCTTACTGGGACCTGCTGGGAATTAAGTGGGAATTAAACTTTTTGTACTGGTACCGAATGGCGTTACAGCAACCGTAATACAACACTACGACAAGAATTAGAGCAACCTAAAGCAACCCTGTTCCTGGGTAATTTATTTTAAATGACACCAGCGTCAGTTTAAATAACGGGACCTTCACTCTAGATTTAGAGTTCAAATTCACACGTCACACACATTCTACACAAAACTGTGTGACCCACATCGTGAGCACGTGATTTTCAGATGCACCAGAACAACAGACCCACTCCAAGGATGGACGAGAGAACTCTAGCCCGGAAGCTGCTACGCGCGAGGATTAACGAGCTCGCGGACTTGAAGTCAAAGCTGAAGAGTATGACCACAAGCCTGGAACAGCTATTAAGACTTCAACAGGACTTTCAGTCGCGAGTTGAAGAAAGCGAAGAGCACAATTATGAGCTGGCAACAACGTTAGATGGCGAAGGTAATGCTCCAAATGCCCATGACGTGATGACATTCGAGATTCTGCTCGAGATGGTCATTAACAGACTGCAGCGCTAGTGGAACAGGTCAGGAAAAAAATATGACAGGCTGTATTAGGTCATCAACAGTTTCGAGTCATACTACCTCTTTGAGCTCGTCTTCTAGCTTTTGTTGAATCTCCTTCGCCATAAGTGCATCGGAGCTGTTCACAATATTCTCTTTATTGAGGTTCATGATAACCCACAGCATCCTCATCCGCATTACCTTGATGTCATGACTGAGTTCTGCTGCTCCACATTCCCAGTGAGATAGTTATGAGCTTGTGCGACTACTAAGACACCACCACTAGATCCGTCAGGTTGCTGTGGGGTTTCAATCCATTCAATCGGATCTATAATCATCTTCCTTTCGACCATCGAGGCCTTATGCCATCGTAGCACAAACCCACGAAGGCCTTCTCTTTCTTCACTGCTCTCGTCATTTTGATTTTTTGGTATTCCTACCCAGACTTTCTCCAAATCGCTGCGATACCCTTCATTAATCAGAGGCTCGTACATGTAGACGTGTAGCCGCGTCATGTTTTTGTAGTTTTCAGACTGATGATAATAATGCCCCAGTGGTTCGCTTTTAAATTTACAGGATTGACGATGAACTTGACTTCTCCAATTGAAGTACGCGGTGTGGTAGGCCACCCCATGGCCCACGTAAGTGATGACAATCCAAATGCACCCTCAACCGAAGCTATCATTGTTTCGAGGCAGAAATCAATCGGGCTATCATTCAGCCATCCACGACAAATGCCACCCACTATGTTTTCAAAGCTGATCAGACCTTGGCCCGAACGTGTCCTAAATTCGGTACGCAGCCGAGAAGAAGCGAATTTTGAAATCACCTCGTTTGCTAGAGCTTGGGGTAATCGCAGACATCATTCGCTGACAGTCCACAAATGTTCGTTTGCCGAGCGAAAAGATCAACATCCGACTTGACTTTTCTCCAATCCTGCTCTAGCCACTTGCGGTCTTAAAACCGCGCTCTTCCCTTCGCCTTGATGTCGTAGAAAACCGCTGAAGCATGGATATACCGGCTAAAAGCAACGTGGTACAGCAACCATAATCGGTAAAGTAACCCTACTATAACAACCGTACTCATAAAGCAACCCTACTACAGCGACCTTACCCGCTGAACTTCCAAAGCTTTGGATCGATAGACGCAACAACGTCAAGGACAATTCCGTGTTTTTTCACGCTGTCATCCAGTGCATCAAGTTGTCGCTGCTCGCTTCTTGTAGTTGTAATCGCAGCCTGCATTGAACGCGTGAGATCAGCCGGAATCACGAAGTTGTGCATGTACTTAGACGGCAGGATTGCTTCCCATTGGCAGTCGATTGTACGGGACCTCAGATAGGCATCGTCCAGTTGAATAGGGTACTTCTCCATTATCTCGAGCACATTTTTTTAAGATTGGGAGTGCATCGCGCCCACATGACGAGGTGATGCAACGGCACAGTAAGGCCACTGGGATACTGATAAACCGATAGACGCTGCAGCCTCGACGTGAGCTTTGTTTGCCGCAGCTGCTTGATTGTTGTACGTGGTTTACCGCGACGCTTCGGTTTGGGAACACTGACGACGTCGACTTGACGCACTGGTGTCGTGGCTGGTGCTACATGTTCTTGTATTATTTCACCAATCTGTGTGGCTGGCAGTGCATCGTCATCGTTGCTGCTGTCCGAGGAGTGTTCGGGACTGGTGGTTTCCAGTACATCCATGAGGTTTGCAGTCCCCATTGCATCTGCAGGATCTAAGACTGAATCTATATCCACATCGAGTACATCATGCTCGCTCACATCTTCGGCGACGAAGTTGGAATTTCCCTTACGTAGCCCTATTTCCACAGTATCTCTCCATGCGCGTAGTTCTTGATAGAAATTTGCACTCGACAACTTGGAAAGATGCTCAAGCAATGGTTCTAGCATAGCCTTTGCGTACGAATACTTCTCGGCAGAAGAAAGAACGACCTGGTTTGCTCGTTCATGCCGACGTAACCGAGCGTAGGCTACCTGCTTTGTCTGCTTGGACGATGATACGGTAGAACCTTCGGCCATGTCATCCGACGACGTTTCTTTCGGCGACCTTAGCTTGGACATGCGCACAATAGACCCCAAAGCATCCGCCGCGGAAGCTAGTTCATCTCTCACACCCAAAATATCGAAAGTATTTCATCGCTGTTGAATTGAAGATGCTGGAAGCATCTCGACGCTCTAGCGAACATTGAAAAAAAATCAACATGAATGGAGAACGATGAACCAGCGCCAAGTACCGTACTGCGTGCAATGAAAAGCTATAACATACTACTTAATACAAATTCGATTCGTACGCGAAAATTGTACATGTACTCAAAATGGCTGCTACTGTACAGTACTGTACTTGACTTTCACTACATGTAGTACTGTACATGTACAATGTAGTACTGTAACTTACCGGTAGTACTGTATGTAGTCCAGTCTGTATTGTACACGTCGAGTTATGACTCATTTGCCCGATTACAGTCGTGCACCTCCAATTCGGCAGGGCGGACCATATCAACAGTGCCAGGGCATAAGTGCACAACGTAAAGCAAAAAAAAAACGCATTATCCAGTGCACTGATCTTTTTTCACCTTGTTCAAGATGCTCACCGAGAGCCGACTAGCTACTACCCGCAAAAACCTTGGAACTGTTATAGACACTCGCAACGTTGAGTGCTGCTGTCCAATCTCCGGAATTATCTGCTGTGTGATGGTCATCTGGTGCTGGAGCAACCCTGCAACAGTTTTGTCGATTTTCGTCTTCTGTCCGAGGAGCATCTTTAATTGATTCCAATTAGACTTGATGCGGTTCGTAGTTGTGTTACCCGCGGTAAAGTGTTGTCCTCGAGCGAAGTTTGACCACATACCCTGACAAGAGTTCCAGTTTTTGTCAAAGTAGGTAAAGAATGCTTGTCTTTTGTTGGTTGTGCAATAATCCTTGAGGTCGCTGTAAGCAGTGTCGTAAGCTTCCTGCGTTGGACTGACGAGCATCACCACATAAGTAAACCAGTTCTCAGGCAGGGTAAGCAAATGGTAAGAACCTGTAAAGCAGCTTTGTCATCAAAATGAGAAGATTCTCACGTTTTCCAATTTTGAGTCGGTATACTGGCCTCTGCACTGCTTTCTTCCAGTAAGAGATGGCATGGAACTGGCAGAGCAAAATCGTTGCGTCCGGGAAACACTCTTTGAGAACCCGCCATTCGACAAAGTCTTTGTCAATGACCACGGTTTTCACTTGTTGCCAGCACGGTTTTTTTTCCTTGAAGTACTCGAGAATGGTTGAAATTGTCACCGCCTGCTCATTGAGACTTAAAAAATCGACAACAGGGAAGCCTCTGTTTGTAGCTGTCGTCACAACCAAGCTCCCTACATCCGAGAACCAAAACGTATCCGAGTTAATCAGTAAGGTTGCTTTATGAGCACTAGGGTTGCTGTAAAGGTTGCCCAAACGGTTGCTTTAAGAGCAAGGTACCAGGGTCAACTTACCCAAGTGATATCCGAGGTTGTTAGTCACATGCGTAATTTCCATCGCAAACGTCTCGCCCCATCGCTCAAACATGAATTTCTGAACCTTTGTCTGCATGACGATGCCCCAAGTGACCTTCATCTAGTCTTGAATGACGAGGACATCACTCCTTTCAAGCTGGCGAAGAGCTTGCAACATGTCTTTCGTTCGATCTTCGCCTGTATTCGACCCCATGATGCTGCGTATACGGTTTCGTGTCTGCTGCGGTGTCACTTTGCAGCCTATGCATCTCAAACAGAAAAGAATTAGCACCATACCATCGTTAGGCTAATACAATTTTCCCCCACGCACCGATGCGATCATTCAGGAAATTTGTAATGTGCGCAGAGGACACGCGGGCATCAGCCAAAGTCTTCACGTCCTCAAGATCTCGGTCATCCAGAGGTAGCGTCGTTGTTGTGAGATACGATGAAGCTTCAGTCTGGGAGGTGGGGGGCGTGTGGTTCTTAACATGAGAAAGTTAGATTATAAGGCAAACAGATTGGCGAGCGTTACTTTTACTCGTACCTCGTTTCGTATGACAATCGCATACGTGTTGCCCACAACTCGTGATACTGCGGCAGTTAACCGCGCTTGGCACCCGCAGTATCGTGATTTGCGGTTACGATGGCCCTTAGATCGAGATTCTTGTGAAACACCATGTGTACAGCGGTAGGTTTTGTACGTCCACTC